GTGTGTGTGTGTGTGTGTGTGTGTGTGTGTGTGTGTGTGCCCCCACCCCCAGGAATGCTGGGCTCCCGAGGCTCCACCCCTGGCTGTCTCTGGGAGGGGCCTGTCCCCAGGGTGCCCATCAGGGGCCGGGCACACCCGGTTTGGGCCCGGCGAGTGTTGGGGGCCCGAACATGGCCACGCGGTTCAGCTGTATTTTTTTAAAGCAGGCTCCACGCCCCTGAGATCATGCCCTGAGCGGACCCTTAACCCACTGAGCCCCCCAGGAATCCTCAGCTTTTTTTTTAAAACAGCTCTATCGAGGCATAATTCGCGGGCCATATAATTCGCCCACTTAGAGTGTTCGATCTGGTGATTTTTTGTGTATGACAGACAGTGCGGCCATCACCCCAGCTTGACGCAGGGAGGCGGGGAGGCTGGGGAGGCCTCAGCCCTGCCACCAGGAGACTCAAGTGAGACCTTTCCCTTTAAGGAGGCGAGGGCACGTGGAGGGCACCGTCGGAACCATAGTGGCGGTCACTCCTAGAGAGAAGCTAGGAGAAGTCAACATCTAGCAGCAGACTTTCCCACCACCTCTCCGGAGCACTGGCGGAATCTACTAGAACTGGACATTCACAAACGCGAGGACTCCGCGATTCGCCCCGAGGCGCAGACCCAGCCCGAAGGTGCCCGTGGGTGCGCCACACCGAGCAGCTGTAGGTGGGGAGCCCCACACCTAGAAACGTCCCCGACGCCATCCGTCCACGCAGGGGGGGTCCCCAACGGTCCGCACCGAACGGGCCAGACACAAAACTGCATGTCCCGCAGACCGTTCCTAAAGGAAGACCACTGTCAGGGCCACGGGACGGCAGTGTGGAGTTTCCTCTGGTGGTGGGGCCCGGGCCCGGCACTCACCGCGACGACAGTGTGCAGGGGGCACAGGCCTGTGTGTCGCCTGGGCCAGAGACACCCGAGGAGCCAGGCTCGGGCAGGTGCGGGACACAACTCAGGGGTGCACGGGGTCACCGCCGCGGGGACACCCCGTGGGGAGCCTGGGGTGGCCATGGTCACGGGCCTCCCGAGCCTGCACGCCGGCCCTCGACTGCGGCCCCCCGCCCGGGTTCTGACTCTTTACTCGGCGAGATCTGAGGATTCGGAGCCTGACTCCTGCAAGGTTAACGGCTCTAAACGCAGGAGGTCAAGCCAGGCAGGTGCTTCCCGTAGCCGGTAAACGGAACCTCGGCCTCGAAGTTTCACCGAAGGCGGTGTTTCTGTTAGGCTCGGGGCAAAAATACAAGCTTCAAAACCGTACCTACAACTCATTTGAGGCTTGGTCCTAAAAGCCAAAGTCAACTCTTGTAAGTTGAATGCGGTCTGGAAGGCACCAGAAGTCACTCGTTCTTTTCAGGTAAGAGATTTGAATCGGGGCCCCGGGAGGGGAAACGCAAGCTGGCTCGTGGGACCACAGGCGGGTTCGGCGGTCACCGCGTGGCTGTGACCGTGAGCCCGGCACTTTGCAGGCACAGGAGGTGGGTCACAGCCCTGTGCCGCCGGAGCTCATGCTCTGGTAGGACAGGCAGACAGATGAACAAGTGATGACAGCCGTCTACACAGACGAGAAGCGTGCAAACACAGCAGTGGTTAAGTCGGCCACAAAGGCTGCACGGACGAGGGGGGAGCGGAGCAGAGGTTTGAAGGATAAACAGGAATTTACGAGGCTGAGAGACAGTGCGCCGTGTAAGCAAGGAGCCTCTAGGATCTACATCCGGGTTCGGCGCAGGTGTGGACACTTGGGACCTCCGGGGCGCACTCTCTCCATTTCTACCTGCACCGGCCAAGACGGGTCTCTACCTCGCCTCCTGTGTACGCGGTTCCTTTTCCATGATGAAGCCCGGAGTTTTAACTCAGAAATCGGGTTTGCCATTCGGATGGCCCTCCTGTAAATTACAAGCCAAGACTCCGGAGCGAGGCGAGGACGGGCACTTGGGGAGGGGAGCACGGCATGGTTGTGTGAGAAAACGGGGGCCTGGGCAAGTTCCTCAAAACTCGGCACCCTAACCCCGGCCGCTCCGCAAACGCGCCCGCGGGTTGAGACACGGGGTGGCTGAGCCTGGCGGCTAAATTCGCCCCTTCCTTCCTCGCGATGGAATCGAATCGAGGGAATCGTTGTTGTTGGCAAAGCCCAGCTAAACACTGCATTTCCTGGTGCTCCCTGCAGCTTAGCAGCGAGCTGAGGATTTACAGGAGCGATTAGGTGCTGACAAAGAGCTGTAGGTGTATTTGGGGCGGAGCACCCCCACCTCCCCGCTTGTGGCCCAGACAGTACCTCCGTGTGAATTAGGAAAAGACCCCATTCTTCAAAACGCTGCCAGAAAATTAACCTAATCTGCTGCTTTTGTCATAGGATGCCTCATTGCCATCTGCCAGAAAGCACTTGTACGTAGATCTACATACATCTAGAGGATGACGTGAGTGGCATCCTCTAAGATTTGTGCAGTGCACAACGTGCACAACGGTGCATGGGTCCTGCCCGTGTGTGGAAGACTGGAAAGAGCCTGGACTCGGCTGGGAAGCACGCACCTTTTGCCCTTCCCCCTTCACGCTTCCGGGGGCATAGATGTGATGCCTGGACTCTGGTAGCCATTTTGGGCCATGAGGTTTTGAGGAAAGAGGTCAGCACCAGGACAATGACAGAAAATGGGTTCCTGCTAACCGCGGGACTACTTACTCCTAAACTTCCTCTGTGTGACAGGGAAACACATTTCTACATTGTTTAAGCCACTGCTGCTTTGAGTTTTCTATTATATAAACGTTAACATCATCCTCACTAACTGAAAAAAGTCAGGGGGGGAAATAATATATCCAGTTCCCCGTGGACAAACTCTCAACAACAAATGCTCGGCCTTCAAAGTTGTCCTTTCGGTTCTTACAGATTTTATTTTTAAGTAACCAACGTGGGGCTCGACCTCACAACTCTGGGATCCAGAGTTGCACGCTCCACCCACTGAGCCCCCCAGGCGCCCCTCAGGCTGCTTCTGGGGGCAGGGAGGGGGGCCTCTCTCTGCGGATCATTGACCTCTGTTTACATACAATGCGGCCTCCCTGTTCTCTCGGTAGAAGGGTCAGACTGGCCACAACCCGAGGGTCCACCAGTTGGGGATGAAATGCGAAATGCACTGTGACTGAGTCACAGAACGAATCTGTGCCCCTTTGGCAGAGTGATTATTTTACGGTTGTTTTTGTTTTTGTTTTTTTTTTCAACGTTTATTTATTTTTGGGACAGAGAGAGACAGAACATGAACGGGGGAGGGGCAGAGAGAGAGGGAGACA